CTCCTTCTCCTCCCTCCTTTCCTGTCTCTCTTTCTCCTTCTCCTCCTCCTCCTCCCCTCCTCCTCACCTCCTCCCCTCCTCCCCTCCTCCCCTCCTCCTCCCCTCCTTCCTTTCCTGCCTCTCCTCCCCCTTCTTGCTTTCCTGTCTCTCCTTCTCCTCCTCACTTTCCTGTCTCTCTTTCTCCTTCTCCTCCTTTTCCTCCTCCTCCTCCTTTTCCTCCTCCTCCTCCTCCTCCTCTCCTCCTTCCTTTCCTGCCTCTCTTCCTCCTCCACCTCCTCCTCCTCCTCCTCCTCCTCCTCCTCCTCCTCCTCCTCCTCACTTTCCTTTCTCTCTTTCTCCTTCTTCTCCTCCTCCTCCTCCTCCTCCTCCTCCTCCTCCTCCTCCTCCTCCTCCTCTCCTCCTTATTATCCTCCTTCCTTTCCTGCCTCTCCTCTTCCTCCTCCTCCTCCTCCTCCTCCTCCTCCTCCTCCTCCCCCTCCTTGCTTTCCTGTCTCTCCTTCTCCTCCTCCTCCTCCTCCTCCTCCTCCTCCTCCTTCTTCTCCTTCTTCCTTTCCTGTCTCTCCTTCTCCTCCTACTTCCTTTCCTGCCCCTCCTTCTCCTCCTCTTCCTCCTCCTCTTCCTCCTCCTCCTCCTCCTCCTCCTCTTTCCTTTCCTGTCTCTCCTTCTCTTCCTCCTCCTCCTTCCTTTCCTGTCTCTCCTTCTCTTCCTCCTCCTCCTTCCTTTCCTGTCTCTCCTCCTCCTCTTCCTCTTCCTCTTCCTCTTCCTCCTCCTTCCTTTCCTGTCTCTCCTTCCCCCCCCCCCCTCTCTCTCTCTCTCTCTCTCTCTCTCTCTCTCTCTCTCTCTCTCTCTCTCTCTCTCTCTCTCTCTCTCTCTCTCTCTCTCTCTCTCTTTTGCTATTTTTCTTATTCTTTCTGTTGTTTATGATCTGTATCATTATTATTACTATTATTGTTATTTATATTTTCATTGTCATAGAATGACCACCTGCGAAGTCTCCTGCGCACATGGGAACAGAAACTTCAAGCATCTCAGAAGGACAGGACTGAACTGCAAGCAACCATTTCCCAAGTTCAGAACTCAGCTCGACAACTGAGAGAGAATCTGGTGAAGGTATGTAAAAAATGAGGTTTATTTAACAGAATGTAAAATAGTTTTTTCACAAGACTTTCACTTTCACCTATTTGTCCCTCATCACCATTTTCTTCACCACACAGGAAAAGACAGCCATGGACAGGCAAAACTCCAAGCTGCAGAAGGAGATGTCAGCCTTAAGATCAGAGCTTGATGCCCGCGATGAGGCAATCCGCAAGTCCCAGAGGCTGTTGAGCGATGCACAGAATGACATCAAGAATCTTCATAGGCAGATTAAAGAGGAACAGGAGAAATACCAGAGTGAGTTGTAATATAAGTATTTTATTTATTTATTTACAATTTTCTGACATGTCAAGATCTTAGATTATTAGTGGCATATACAAAATGTAGCAATAGGGTGGGGCATGGGGGGATGATATTTGTGGATTTCTAGAATGGTTAATGGTCAAAACAAATAAATGAGCCAGACATCAAAGGGCATATAGCATTATGATAAAATTCTGTGGCAAAAAGGGTAAAAATGAGTTAATGATTCAATTAAGTGGCTAGAAGGGGATGAAGAGGAAAGGAAAAGGAGGGAGTGGGAAGAGAAGACCATGCAAAATTGGTTGAGGCAAGGGCTGAAGTCCAAGACAGGAGTGATCTCCAACATTTGGCCTCAGTCTGCCCCCAAAGGAGTGGGTGGTATTTATTCATTGAAAATTTCTGCCACGTCAACATCGAAGGTCATTGGCAGTGTATTAAATATAGACATGGCGGGAAGCTTGGGGGCAAAGCCCGCTGGTAAGGAAGAGCTATATGACATCAAATATGGCGCTAGGATAAAGTATAATAGCGAAAAGAGTTAAGAATGAGTTAATCATTAGGGTAAAGTTACAGGTTGAACAGTATCCTGAGGGTAGTATGGTAGTGAAAAGGGGAGAGAGGGGGAGTTAACCCATTCACCCTGGATTTATGTTCTGTCCCCTGTAGTTTTGGGTGAATTTTGTGACATACAGATGGCTCCACATGCGCTCAGCTGGCAAGGAGTCTATCAGGAGGCCCTAGTTACCAATCCTGATTTTTCCATTCCTTGAATTGGTGGGAATTTTTTTTTTTTCTTTTTAATACCACTGCTATCCATACTGTTATAATTGTTATTGATGTTGTGATTATAAAATTGTCATTAAAATATTTTAGACAATGAAATGATACAAAAGACTGAAATGATACAAAAGACCCTTTCTTAAAGTGAAGGTAAAGGGTAAAAAGATGAGATAGGTAGTTCTAATAACTGGCTATTTGGTGATTAGAGCCATCTGTGTGTAAATACAATAAATAAACTTTGGGCATGGCATCTATTCTTGCCACATGGGGCGAATGGGTTAGTAGGAAGAGTAGGAAATATAATAAAGAATAGGGTAAGTGGACAGAACAAGGGGATGAAGAAAAGGAAAAGTAAAGGAGAAGAAAAAAAAGACTATGCAAAATCAGTTGGTGAGGGCTGATGACCAGAGTAGAGGCCATCAACAAGAAGCAAGGAATTGGAGGGTAACATGAATTGATAATTTTTTAGCCAATGTGATTTCTTTTCCTGTTGGATCAGACTGTTGAAAGTGCTGTGGCATGTGTAGCTCTCAGGAAGCAGCTGGAAGATAAATTGGAGACCTGCCATAGTTTTTAAATGGTCTTAATGGTCCCCCCAAAAATAGTGTGAAAGAGCTATGAACTCTAAGTTCATAGCTTTAAGGCATTTTATAAATTCATAAATTTTTGATGTTAGGTTAGGTCTAGAATGAAGTAAATAGATAGATATCATGTTTATGTCCTTTCTGAGTGGAGTGCATTTATTCTTATTTATTTATTTTTATTTTATTTTATTAATTTTTCAGAACTTCAAGAGTGCAACCAGAAGCTAGATGATGAACTGAAGAAAGGAAGAAGAGATCATGATGACTTACAGAAGGAGATCGCAAAACTTGAGAAAGCCCAGAGTCAGATGAAGAAAGAGGTATGACTAAGCGTCTTGTGGCTGACTGGGTATAGCCATCAGCTTAGTCTTCCATATGTTTTTTTTAAAAAAAAAACTCCCAATATATTTTACTACGAAAAGCATTGGTTTCATGACTAAAGATCGAAATGTGTCGCATTTGGTCTAGAACCTAATTTTGGCTTCCTTTTCCAGAATTCAGAGCTGGAGCTGATAATTAGCAGCCATGAGAAGACCCTGACAGAGAAGGAAAGTCAGCTGGAGGAAATGACAAGGAAATTCACAGAGTTGAAACGTATTCAAGACATGATCCACAACATATCTGCTGGAAAACTGATGTAGAGTTTCAGAAGGGTTTAAAGTGTTGGGGAGCAGGTTATTATGTAGCTTAAAGAAAACTGCTTTCCAAAGCACTCCTGCCCTTTAGGCAAGTTTTTGCCTGCAAAAATCTAATTGAAGATATAAAAAGTAAAATATCCAGAGTAAATTCTTAACTTAAACATGGTATTAAGAACAAAGTATTAAACATTTTTAACTAGTGTTTATAAAGCATATTTAAAAATATAAGATACTGTTTTGTAAGTAATAGATTGATATTCTTGATATTCTGTCCATATTTCTAATTAAAGGAATGAAATCCCAGAGATTGACATTTTTACCTGGAATCCTGGTTTCCTGGGAACATACCCACTAGCGCCTTGGTAAAGAAAGTCAATGCCAAGTTTGGAAAATACTACTGGAAAACAGCCCTAATTCTACCATTCTCTGTTTGCACACTTGATTCCTTATTTTTTAGCTGCAATTTTCCTAGTTTGGGCTGATTAACTTCTACCACCCAAATTCGTATCTAATATAAGATAACCCCTGCCTTTAATAGAACAGTTACCCTCATCCGTTATGGTAATTTTAGTCCCACCTGAAATATAATATTAAGGAAAATATTTGCGTTGACCGGGTTTAGAAAACGAGATCTCTACGCCGAACTTTTCAATACAGCGCATCATCATAAACCCAATAGAGAATTTTCCTGTGTAAGTCACTTGAGGGTTGGTAGCGAGCCGGGAAAGAAAAAGAGGGGGGGAGGGGGAACACGCAGAGTATTACTAGTTTTATTTTCATGAAATTTTACAAAATTCTCTACATACGCCTTGAGGACTTGCCAGCCCACAGCGGGCGTGTTCCCTGGCCATTCCTCGCATGTCCAGCGGATGTGAATCCCTCCTACAGGAATAATGCTCGAGAAAGGGCGACCTGCTGCCCCCATGAGAGCGAGGGCGTGTCGAGCTACGCCGGACTGTTTTGGCGTTGGTAGCTGCTGTCCTGACAATTTCGGAACCGAGTCAGTCACATCAGTATTACTACGGCCCTCAACACCGAAGCCGCGAAGTTCAGGCCATTTCAGCGACCAGCGTCAGCACCCAAGGGACACCTCGCTCAGGCTTACAGACTGGAAGAAAAGATAAATATCAGAGGAGGGCAATGGGCTGGATGTTATCACAGTGCAGCAGCACAAACCGGGGGATAAATGTAGCATATAGTTGCAAAACCACTTAATGTGCAACTGACCACAAAACGCATTCAAACGCTGTACTGAGAATACAATTTGGTAGAAATGCGAACCAGTATCATATTCATATAACACCTTGGAAACTAATTTGAAAGGCGACATTTAAGTAAACCGGTCCCAGGGATGGGAAAGTTTTGTATAACAAAGGATAATTCAAATTTATGATTAAATTAAATATACCAGAATTTTTAAAAAATCCATATGTACCAAGTCCTGAGGAAAACATTCACTTAAAAGGGCCACCAAACCCAACGCTTATCCTGTCAACCACAGCCAGCGTTTACTGATCTCGGTCAAATCACAACCATACTTTTCGGTTCATAAAACTCCTGTCAAAGCGGGGAGCCACAAGAGCGTACGGATATTTCAGGGGAGGGTTAGGGGCTGGATTTGCTTCGTGTCTTCCAAGTCATCTCGCCCTTGCAGGGCTAGGAGACGGAGAATGGGACCAATACTGGGGACCCCCCCTACCTTGGGCCACAGCCCTTGACTCGCCTCATTTGCACCCCTTCTACTATCCACTTCCTAAGGTGTAAAAGCCGTGTTGAAAGGATGAAAGGCTGACTTTGTGCTAGTCATGAACGGCCTGATAGAGCCAGGCACGTTATTCCATTGTTGGGACCCTGAGGGGTGGACCATTTCTTTCTCCAGCATACTCCAGGCTTACCATGGCCATAATTTGCACCTTTATTAGGGTGCCCCTCCTCATTACTTACTTTCACCTCGGTCCAGGTCAGTCTATCCTGGTCATTACTCAACCTCCAGAAAACATTCCTCTACTTCATCTCCACCACTCCCAAAACTGTCTTCGCCGAGTTCCCCCTCCCTCCTTTATCACTAATCTGCATTCTTACTGTCTACATCCCTCAACACTACTCCTAACCCTTTCTGAATACTAATGGGAGCTATTTTCCCCTTATTCTGACAACAGTCTTCTTCCAGCAATGTCTCCAAAAAATAAGTAGGCAAAGTTTCCTCCTGCTTGCGGCCCGATGGGTCCCGCCTCGTCACATCCACATCCCAAGCCAACTCCCCCAATCCCTTGCCCGTTGTTGTCGTGGGGGGGCTTAGGAGGCGGAGACTGGGACCCAATGATGGGGAACTCCTCAACCTTGGGACTCAGCCCTCGACTCAACTAATTATGCATGGTATTTTTTTCCCTTCTCACTTTTGTTTCTGTCCCTTCACCAAACCCTTCTGCTATGCACCTCCTAAGGTGTGAGAGCCGTGCTGAAAGGATGAAAGGCTGACTTTGTGCCAGTCCTGAACGGCCTGAGGGAGCTATGGGCACGGTATTCCCCTGATTTTAGTTATCTAGCCCTTACCCCTCAAGGGGACCCTGAGGGGTGGACTGTTTTTATCCCCAACATAATCCAGGCTTACCATGGCCAGTAATGAAAATATATCCCCACTGTTAGGGGCAATGAGGCTTGCCCCTTTATCAAATAGCCCTAACGAAGTAAACCCACCCGATTCCCCGACCCCAGGCTCTCCTTTGACCACTGCTCCGAACACTGCAATAACTACCCCTTCACCAATGCCTACTGGTACAGTAGCCAACAATCAACCCTCAAGGAACATTTCCACTCTCCCAGCATGCTCAACTTCAACACCTCTACACCCACAACCTCCAACATCAACCACCCCATCCTCCCTTATTAATACCTTACAGCCTTATAGCCCACCCCTCCATAACACTACCTCCCTCAACACTACTCCATCTTCGTCACGGCCTCGCCCTTCTACCACCCCTATCTCTAAAACAATCTTGAATACTCTCTTCAGTGCAGCCAAATGGGACCGATTTTTCGTGATCCCTCCCACAGCTCCCTACTCTGACAACACCCTTCTCTTCCAACAATGCCTCCAAAAACAAGTAGGTAAAGTCTCTTTCCGTAGCCGACCCGACCGCTCCCGTCTTGTCACAGTAACATCCGAAAACCAAGCTATAGCATTAACAAAACTAACTGACCTATATGGTAACCCCATCCTTGCAGAACCCCATCCAACCCTCAATACTTGCACCGGAACAGCCTCAATCTCCCCAGCAAATTGCCCAATCTATGACAAAGATTGGTCAGATTGTGGAGATCTACTTGCCTGTCTCACAGACTACGATGCAACATCAGTACAATACTACTCCATTCCCCCCAGAGGTCATCGAAAGAAACCCACTAACATAGCCAAAATTACCTTACGTAGACATGACCTTCCCTTTAACGTCTACATAGGAGGAGAATCCCTCCCTGTTCGTCCATACCAACCTCCTCCACGTCAGTGCCAAAATTGTTGGCGTCTAGGACACCCAGCCAAACATTGCCGTTCCACAGCCAGATGCCCACTATGTGCCCAACCTGGCCATACCCGATCTAACTGCTCTGCACAATCACGCACATGTGCCAACTGTGGCGGCCCCCATAATGTATTTTATAGGGGCTGTCCCACCTACAAATTTGAATCTGAGGTAGCAACTCTCAGATTCAAACTTGGACTCACACTACGTGAAGCCAGGCAGGAAGCACGTCGACGTGGATTCTCTCTTACTCCTTACTCCAGTAATACTGCTCATCCTAACACTTCTCCTAAACCCACCCCTCCTACATCTAACTCCCCCACTTCTACCTCCTACCTTCCCCAGTCAAACTCTTTTGCCATCCTAAATCCAGACACTCCAATCTCTACTACAGATACTCCAATCACCACTACAACCCCAACACCTTCCCCTCTCCCTCCTCGCACTACCCGTAACAGACAGAACAAACGTTCCACCCCCTCTTCCCCTACCACACAATCATCCCCACCATCCTTTGCCCGTACTCTTGAGACACCAGTCCTCTCTTCCCCCCCTCACAAGAAATCCTTTATCCCCCAAAACTCCCCAACCAACTCCACAGAAGAAACTATTGAAAATATTCAAGATTACTTAATGAAAACTGACACTCAACCTACAACTCCTGCTCCTTCCACACTCCAAGTAATTGCTGATATCCATCCTCCTCCTACGATATCCCCCCTACACCCTATCCTCCTACCCCCTCCCAACACAGCCCATCCCCCCTGACCCCAACCCCGCCCACATTAACTCTCCCACCATCCCCTCTATCCCTTCCACTCCCTCCTGGATACACACGTGAATCCCTTATGTCACAAGTATCCCCTTCCTCAGACCTTCCATCTCCTAATACCCCTCCTGATAGAACACCAACTCCCACACCTCTCCCATCTCAAACCTCTCAGTCCTTATCCCACCCTCTAGCTGCTTCCCCTTCAAATTCTCCAGCACGTACTACAATCTATATCACTAAATCAACGAAAGTATAACTATCCTTCATTGGAATATTCGCGGTTTCCGCTCCCACAGACCTGACCATCATATCCTTTCCTCTTATAACCCATCTATTGTATGCCTTCAAGAAACCTTTCTTATGCATATCCTTTATCTAATATAACACCCAACCTTAACCCTTTCACTCACTAATTCCTTTGCCCAGCTTAGACAACTAATCACTAACTCAACCACCCTTCACTAACATTAACTATAGTGCTACATGACCTTAGATGTCTAGCACATTTATCTTGCTTTTAACCATTAACCATTAACCATCCCAAGCCAAAGTATTACTGGCCCATTCTTGCTTAGCCTCTTCCCTCCCGGCAAACTGCCCTGTCTTCGAGGATTGGTCTCGTTTGTCTCTTGGACTGCAATGCAGAATCAAGACAATGCTACGTCATCTCCCTAGAGGCCGTTGCAAGTCCCCCACTAATATTGCCAAGATATGACCTCCCCTTTAATGTTTACGTTGGCATCATATTAACCTCCCCCCCCCTCCCGTCAATATCAGAATTGTTGGCGTCTAGGCCACCCTGCCAAACACTGCTGTTCTACAGCCTGATGCCCTTTGTGTGCCCAACTTGTGCATGATCAAAATGCTCCGAGGGTATTTGTTACGGACAGCGACGCACCCTTCAGAGACGAAGTCCCACATCCAGCATAACATACAAATCCAAACCTAACTTTTTCTACCTTTTATTTACTCCCTAGACAGCGTCAAGTCCCCCCTGTACCCC